GGTTAAACTTAATAGTCTTAAATCACATTTATTAACGCTTTCAAATAATACCATATAATATAAATAAAAAAACACCATGAAATATTAATTTATTAATGGGTGTTTTGTTTTTGCTTTCTTTATGCAGCAAAGGTATTTGAGGTTGGCACAGTTACGGCCCAGTTAAGCCTCTGCCTTTTCATCTTTCCAGTAGGTATCACATAAGGTGGGATTTGTGATTAAATAGAGAATGAGTGAGATGACAACAACACCTATGTATGCTATGTTGCTATTTGTAGAAATACTTTTTTGCTAAACCATATATTACCTCTTTTCCCTCCGGACCCATTTATACGTGTGGAACTGAAACATGAAGAGCTGAACCGGGTTCATCAAAATGCGTTTCATTGGACTGATGCTAAGTGGGTTTTTTTGTATATCTTACAACAAAAATACTAAAATAGGGCAATGTATTTTCATTTTAATGTTTAGCTTTATGTAGTTTGGATCATTTTTTCTGCAAAGGGCAATGTCCTTTATTTTTTTTATTTTAAGTATCAAATTTGTAAAAGAGCAAATTGCAGCAAATAGCAACATACCTAACTGCGGCTACCAATTAAGACAATCTACTATACATGTACATAAAAACAACACCATCCAACCCCCGCAACGCGGGGGAATGCATCTAGTTGTAAATAAGAAACTCATCTTAAAAGTTGTAAAAGTTGTAAAAGTTGCAAAAATAGTGGTATTATAACATGTGAAATTTAAAGTTGCAAAAATATATAAAGGTGGCTAAAATATTCAATAAGTAGCAATGTACTTTGGTGACTAAAAAGTCCACTTAGTGGTAAAACTAATTAAGCCTTGTGAATGTATCCCAGAACTAGAATACGTTTTATATTGAAAATATAGCAATGAGGTTATGAGTCTTTTACCACGTACTATGTATATGTACACGAGGTTGTGAGGCCAATAGCAACCTAATTTTTTTAATTATTTAAGGTAAAACAGTAACATACATTATTTAACCTAAAACAAAAACCTATTATTGTTTTTAACCTAAAATAGCAACGTTCTTAACATTTAACCTATAACAGCAACACACTTTCATATTTAACCTATAATAGCAAAATATTTTTTATTTGTAACCAAATTAACATAGTATTATATTTAACCGAAAAAATACAACATGTTTTCCTTTTTAAGCTAAATTACCAACATTTATGTTTATCCCGTAACAGCATATCGAAAGAAAATTCATTGCCATCGAAAAAATTTCACCAAACGAAACTATGAGCCGACGCCGCATCGTGCGGGTACGCTACTAGTATATATATATATATATATATATATATATATATATATATATATATATAACTTAAGATGGCTTTGTTATGGAGGAATAAGGGTGGCGTTGTGATGGTGATGATGGTGGATCGGAGATGAAGAATACAAAAGGTGGGTCGGAGATGGTGCTGATGAGGGCTACTGGTGTTTTATGGTGAAGATGGTGGCTATTATGGAGGAATAAGGTGGTGTTAAGATGGTAAAGATGGTTTCTTTATTGGTGGTGGTGGTGGCAGAGGCTAGTGGTAGTAGACGATGTTGTTGGTGGCAAAGGATGGTTGTGGTGATGTGTAAATATGAGGGTTTTTATAGCAATGGTGACCGGCTAAGAGGATGCAAAACGTGATAAAAGGTTAAAATGAAATTTTTTGACAAATATGAGGCATTAATGAACATAAAAACGAACTTAGAAGATGTTCACACATCTCATGTAAATATGAGGGCTTTTACAACAATAACCCTTTATATTAATACAAGAGCCACAATAGCTATAAAAACACATGTTAAATACAATTAATAAAACTTTTGTTGGTTTGTCGTAAAGAGTGTGTGTTTAGGTCATATAGTGTGTATAATGAAGCTTTATTTAGGAATAACAGCACATGATAAACCTTTATTTTCTTATGTGTTGTTCGATTGTGAAAAGGATCTTCGGTAATGTGTTGTTTTATGGTAAACGTTTTACATCTAAGACCTAAAAATTCAACAATGAAGTAGCATTTGGTCTAAAAATGCACTTTTTGCGACAAATAAACAAAGTCTTCTTAAGTTACATAAGATATAGATGATATCTATATGATTCTAGTAATGATATTTATTAAAGAGAATAAAAAAATTTCAAAAATGATATATAAATTATTATTGTTGTGTTTTTTAATAAAAAAAATTATCTATATTTTGAGTTTATTAATGAATAAATACAAGTTTTCTTCAAATAAATTTATTATATATGAAAAAGCAAATCTCCAAAAAATTCTTTAAACTTTAATCTTATTAACGAAAAAAATCATCCACGATTATTTTATTATTTTTTATTTTATCAATTTAACCCTTAAAATCGACACTAATTTGTACAAGGGTTATTTTGCAAGTGTTTACCGGTTTCAATGGTTAAACCGAAAGAAAAAAAAAATGTGTGTGACTTTTATACAAATTTCCCAACGAAAAGTTAAGCTCAATTGATCTAAAGACTAAAATGAATTGCATTTGAAATCAAATATTTTATCGTTAAAAAACAATGATCAATATTTTGAACAAGTTGACACTTTAAATATTGTGGTTTTATTTAAGTAATATGTTTTATTTAAATAGTATGTCTTATAAAAATTATATTTGTTTTTACAATTATTTAAAAAGAAACTCAAAAAGAAAAAGAAAAAATATGACCTGGAAATTATTTTTGTGTGAAGGTGTGGTGATAATTTTCTACCTAAAATAGTATGATGTGGATGATCATATGGCATGTGAGATAACAAAAAAATGACATTATAACATAAATTCATACACACTAGTCTTAGATATAGCTGACACGTTGTCACATCCACATGATCAAATCAATAAAGGTTGTTATTCGGTTATTTTAAGACTATTTGTTCTTATTTTATAAACAAAAACCAACCTGAAATCCAAATTAATATTCAGTTTTATTTATCAGCGGATGCAGGACATTGAAAAGGAGGGAAGTGTCCCCAATGATCTCAGAAATTTTATATAAAAATGAGAATTGATTTGTACAAAACAATTTTTCTCCATAAACAATAATATGTTTTATAAAGTTGTACAATATAATATTTTAAAATATAAATTGTTGTGTGTGAAAAAAACTGACATGTACGAATTAGCTTCTATAAAATATAGACACGAGTTCGATTTAAAAAAAAAAAAGGAGTTAAATTTGTAGCGGTGCCCTCAATAATATTTGGGCCAAAGTGCTTTAAGTTATTTACATCATGCAATAGTATCCATATCATAATTAATTTTAATAAAAAAAAACCCAATTCGTGTATTTTGGTATCTTGGAAAAACGCTAAAACAGCAAGAGGAAAAAGAATCGTCTTTCATCCAAATAATTGTTTAACCGAGTTTTATTAAGGGTTAATGTCATGAAAAAATAGCCTAACTATTCAAAATGTTTTAAAACATCATTCAACTAAAAAATATCATCAAAAGGCGAAAAACTATTCTTTTGGATTATAAAACATCATTCAAACTATTGTTTTTATTTTTTTAACTACCATTTTAACAATGGTATATTTTTTTTAAAACAAGACGATAGATAGTTACATTCTAATGACATTTTTAGTTGGATGGTTTTTTTTTAAACATTTTAGATAGTTGGTTACATTTTTATGACTTTAACCCTTTTATTAATTTCAAGCACCAAATCAAATTGTAATTGAATGTTTTCAAAATATGATAGGTCGTACTGGGCAATTATAATATATACTTTAATATTTTCTTCTGTAATGTCACAGTCTTTTAACTTACCTGTATTTAGAACCGTTTTGATATAATGACCCGACAAAAAATCATATCTTTTGCATCCAACAAATCTAAATCCGGATCCACCAATGGTTTTATTTAAAACAATCCAGAAATCTGAATATCTAAACCGAATTGCCCAATTGAATAATTTAGTTCTATTCAAATAATAAACGGCTCTAATCTTTTCTTTACAATTAACTCTACATTTACACAGTAAGCCATAACTTTTTTGTATTTACACAAGGGTCTATAACTTTTTTGTAATTAAAGCATACGAGCAATTGATTGAAATTGGTGAGATAGCGACGTCGGAATGGGGAACAAAGGTGGGGTTGGGAATATGAATAGAATGGGGGAGCCAGAGGTGGGGTCGGGAATACGAATAGTTTCCTTCTACATTCAATGTATAACATACTATATAGACTATAGACCGTTTGATTTGAATACAAAATAGAGATGATGATTTGATAGGGTAAGATACTTTTTGAAATGTACACATTTAGTCCTTATTCTTTTTTTTTGTAAAATAAACCCTTATACTTTATTTTTTGTAACAATATAATCCTTGTGACCGGCTATACCCGGTATACCGGTCATATACGAATTTTCTTTTAGGGAAAATGACTTGATAGGATAACATACTTTTTGAATTGTACACATTTAGTCCTTATTCTTTTTTTTTGTAAAATAAACTCTTATACTTTATTAATATGTACACATTAGGTCATTTTCACCGGATTCTACAGGTTTTGTTGATGTGGAAGCACAAGTGGCACTAAATAGCAATTAATTAGCTTAGTCACCGGAGGTGGGTGATCCTCCAGCAACAAGAAAAGGGCAGCGACCCTTCTCTTTCTCGTCTCTCTTCCTTCCGGTCGAACAGCAACAGCCAAACACCCTTTACCTGTTGTGTTTCTCCGATCTGTCTCTCTTTGCCTCCATCTTTGAGATATGTTGCCAGAAAAAGAAGAAAGAATCGACGAGGGGGATACCAGAGCAGCTCCTCGCCGCCAACTACCGTCTCTACTTCCTCCTGCCTCCCCCTTCGACCTTGTTGTTTTTGCCATCATTCCTCCTTGCTACCAGTGATGTGTAGGAACACACAAAGGAGTCGCCGGAGATCGGGATTCTCCCTCTTTTTCATGATGAATAAAAGTTGGAAAAATCTCGTTGTGGATATGTGGATGTCACCTGGGTATTTCATTTCAACAAAATAAAAAGAAAGGGAAAATGACTTGATAGGGTAATATACTTTTTGAAATGTACACATTTAGTCCTTATTCTTTTTTTTTGTAAAATAAACCCTTCCATGTCAGCAAAACCTGTAGAATCCGATGAAAAGGACCTAATATGTACATATTAATAAAGTATAAGGGTTTATTTTACAAAAAAAAAAAAAAATAAGGACTAAATGTATACATTTCAAAAAGTATCTTACCCTATCAAGTCATTATCCCTCCAAAATAAGTTTGTAACTTTGACAAATCAGACCCTTGCAACATAATTTAGTTTTTATTTAAAGATTTTTTCATATGAAAAAATTTGACGGAAAAACATAATTCATTTCAAACATTTTCAACTCATTTTGCAACCATGAAAACAGAAATATAATGCGCACAAATACTATAAATTTTCTCTACATTCCCGATAATAGAAACTCTAGTTGTAAACTAAATATAAACATTTCTACAAATTACAATCGTTCAAAAATGGTCAATTCATACACAAACTTTCCAGAAATAGAAATGTCATGAGTCTTACTCTTACATTACCTGCTGCATTTTGATTCCCCCCAATCTTCTTCAAAGTCGTCAAAACCATAACTGCAGCTCGAATACTCAAAAATGGTATAAAATTTCCACTAAATTCAGTAAAAAAAATGAATGAAAAGAAAGGTTTATTGTAAACTTGTGTATAAATCTATGGTGAAGTATGGATTTGAACATTAGCTAAAAGCCTGGTAAGTTTACTAAGCGTTTCTCGTGCAGATACAGTGTCTGGATGATCCTCACCGCATATAGAAGTTCTAATGAAGATCGCTTTACGTATCAAGTCATCTCCAATGTCGAATTGTCCTCCTCTCAGCATCAATTTTGCCCTAATTTCAAGAACAGTCGCTCTAGAGAGCGCTAAATCTTGCCATAAACTAGGGTTTAATTGAGCATCTGTTTGAATCGGTTTCCAACACAACGATTTATCCAGCCATTTTTCCACCGGAGTCACCAGCGCTTCATCTGCCGCTTCCAGTGTGTCTGTGCATAATCGTAAAAGCTCTAAAGCAGCGGTGCATCGGGAGAATCGGATGAATGTTCTTATCGCAAGAGGTAAGATTACATCTTTGACTAGAAAAGGTAATTCTGATGCTTTTGTTTCAATTACCACTGGATCGTTTCCAAATCCCAATAGTAAGAAACACGCGGCCCAAATTTGATCTGAGTTGTGAATCACCGTGCCACGTGTCACCACTGTTTGCACCACCGTGTGGGCGGTTCCTGGTATGCTTCGTTTCCGTACATACTGCTTCGTTAAATTATTGAAATGGATGTAACCGTCTTTTGTGCAATTTCTGGCGATGTTGAATCGGAGTAAAACCGAACACGCTTCCGTTTCCGATTTCTTATCGTATAACGATGAACAACCACATGTCAATGATCGTAAAATCTTCCGCCATAATCGAGTCCGGTGGTGTTTTTCCGGGATCTGTTTAGCGGCGAGGGCCAGTAATGGAACCGGAGTTGGACCTGGTGCGAACCACCCGCTTGCGAGAACCATTCTAGTCGCTAAGCTTCGTGGGCCATCTGCATGGTCGAATATGGAGAAACAAACTTCGATCAATTGAAATAGAAATGTGTTTCGACGTAATGTATTGCTTTCTCTTTCTCTCCCGTTTGAAGGCATTCGATTGATTGTGTCCAGAAGTCGGCTTGGAGTGATCGGAAGTTCAGAAAGAACAGCTCCAACAATGGCTAAACCTAAAGTCAATCTCCCAAGTTTCTCTTCAATCGAACGTAATGCATCAATTTCCAAAACCGAAATGGTCCGATCGTTCATGTTCATGTTTCCTTGCATTAGAGACATTGCTTCAACGCCTGATAAGTATGAAAGTTTTAATGGCTCCATGTTCAGTAATTTTGGCAGACGAGTGGATATAAGAACATGAGTTTCTCCCCCAAATCGAGGAAGAAGATCGATTACATGTTTATGATCCCACCAATCCTTTTCAGATTCCAAATTGTCGATTACTACTAAAAAAGGTATATTTCTCATAAGCTCTTTTCTAATTCTAGCTATGGCGGTTTCTTCATGTTCTTCAAAGCTTTTCGTTCTGGTTTTCTCTAATCCAGTCTCCACCCCCACATCGACTTCCAAAAACGACCATAAATTCAAATAATTCTGACGAATGTATCTACTCTCACCTCCGATCCACAACACCATCTTGTACCTCTGATGAAACCTGTAAGCGAATTCCAGAAGTAATTCCGTTTTCCCGATTCCAGAGTCGCCGGAAACACACGCGATTCCCTTTCCGTACACAACTTTCACCGCTCGTTTCCGTCTCCCTGGTTTAGGTTTCGGTGAAGAAAAGTGGGCGTCGCCGTCGTGGTCCCCATTCTGCATTTCAATCTCCTTCTCTGATTCCTTCCAAACCACCGGCTCTTTCCCTTTCCGCCGCCTACTTCTAATCTCCGTTTTCACCTCCCTCCTCTTTCCTCTCGCTTTAAGTTCAAAATATTCTCGTTCTCTCTCCCCAATCACATCACCAAACAACATGAATTCAAGCTCTGAAAGTTCCTTTTTTCTCCCGATGAAATTCTCGTTTCTAGGATACGGAAACTCCTCGATTTCAACTTTTTCACGCCACTTCGTTAACCTATCAACAACGCTTCTTCTTCCTAATCTCAAAGCCAAAAGCGTCACAACTCGAAGAATACAATCCCGCCATTTTCCATCGCGAGCTTCAAGCTTCCATTCATCGACACGTGTCAAACCATTCACTGCATCTTTCCATTCATTCTCTAATCCGCCATAAACAAGCCATAGCTCACCTCCATGTTTCTCCCATGTCTCCCCTCGCTTTTCAACTATATCTCTCACAAGACAATCATCCGGCCCCACATCAAAAAAAATCGGGACCAAATTCTTCTTACTCGAAAAGAATCTTAACTCTTCAATCGTGTAAGCGTTCCTGAAGGATTTTCTTGTTAAAACAACAACCCCAAATGTACTTGCGTCCATGGCTTTTTCTACAATTCCATGTTTTCGTGAGTTTCTACATTTTGATCTGTCTGTAACGAAGCAACTCAATCCTTGTACTTCTAAATCAGCTCGAAGCCAATTTACAAAACGTAACAGTAACGGTTTCCGTCCATGAAATCCTATGTACACGTCGAAGCTTCTTAACCTTGTTGTACAGTACGACGTTGACGGCGGCGTAAAGGAGGAGATTGGACTTCTGACGACTTTCTTTGACTTTTCCACGATTTCAAAAGCTTCGTTTTCATGGAAGTTGTCGAAGTTTTGTAGATCGCTGGAGGTGCTTGCAGCATTAATGGCGACATCTGAAATTCCGATTTTTTTTGTCAAAGATTTGAAATCAAAAATTGGAAACGAATAATACCCGGGGTTAATATTGTAATTTTACCATCACAAAGAGTTTCTGAAAGTTCAGCTGGTAGCCATGATGATGATCTTGGAGAGAAAAATGGTGATTGATTTGCAGAGAAGAATAACGTCGATGAAGATGATAAATTTCTTAACGTCGATCCAAGTCTTGAACTTTCTTCTCGTAAATCCATGTTTATATAATTAATTCCTCTTGATACAGATTCTACTCATCTGAAAATCAGTAAAAAAATAATAATAAGAAATTAAATCAATATTTCAAGAAAGTTTCGAATGTGAACTCATTTCAGAAATAAGGAAATTAAAACCATGAATTGGATGGAAAGATCTTGGGGAAATCAAAGGCTCAATGGCATTACAGATCTAAAGAATCACTTGCAAACACAACGAATCTTAATATAAATTACATTATATTATAATAATTTCAGATCTGAAAAAAGAAAAAAAAAAAAAAAAAAAACCCTTACTTGGTTTCCAGCCATGAAGATCATCAAATCACCGATAAATATCTCGCATCTTTACACAATCAAACCAAAACCCACTTCCTCGATTCGAATATAACCCCCAGAAAGATTTTTTTTTAATAAAAAAAAACGTTGAATCAAGAAACCCCCAAATCTTCAAACTTGTTAATCTGACCTAGTCAAGAAGAAAGTCAACTTTCACATAAATAGACTGTGTCTAAAATCATCAAGATGGGTATCGATTTGAATGTAAAGATTCAGATTTCAGAGAGATGAAGTTGACAATGAGAGAAACAAAAGCCCTAATCTTTTTTAACGGGGGAAAGTGAACTAAAAAGCAAAGCTTTTGCTATTTTAAAGAAAGATTTGAAATTTTGACAGAAACCCTTTTTTAGGGAAAGATTGGATTTAAGGAGGAAGGTTTTTACATTTCAGAAAAAAAAATCTTCAAGGGTTTTTGTTCACACAGACCAATCAATTTCAAACCTAGACTAACTCTGCACTAAAACCCTTCTTTCTTTCAGTGTGTGGACCTATATATACATGTATTTATATGTATGTATATTATTATGTCTGGGAAATTGAGAAAAAGAGAGAAAAAGAAAGCAAATGGATATGTTATCGTTATGTATGTATTGTATAGAGTATAGGACCCAACAAGAAGACGGATCTGACGAGGTTATAGTTATTAAGTGTCAAAGGTCCAAACGTTTTTCAACATCCAAAGGGTCAATGTCTAATTGTCTATATTTATCTTATCATATTTTAATCTTATTAGTATCATAAGGTTTAAATTTACCAACTCCATGTGACAAGATTTTTATTTGCAAAGATCTTATAGGTCACTTATGTCAAAGATGAGAAAATTTTGTCATTAATCTATTTTGGGTTTTTTTTAATCTTTTTTAAAAATAAAGTTTTGGATTTTTTGGTCTTCGTTTTTGGAAAAAGTTAATATATAAAAAATGTCTCCCATGTATGAAACGGATTTTGGGGTTTTGTAGATTTGAAAATCTTTTTGTGAATTTGGACAATGGGTATGTGTTGTTTTTTTGTGTTTGTTGGGTAATGAATGATAAATTTAAGAATATTTGGCCATTTGCTATGGAAACATTATGGGCATTCTTGAAAAGGTTGCCATCACATCTATAACTCATAGTTGTACTTAGGCAATTAAAATTGACTAATAATTATATTCCTTTTTCTAGAAAAGAGAATTATTTATATATGATTTTTTTTAAGAGAATATTAAATATCCTCCTACCTTTTCTTCCTATCAATCATCCTACCCATTTAAATGATGACATGTGTCATATTAGTATCCTAAAATATCATTAAATGAGCATTAAATATTACACATGTCACCATTTAATTGGGTAGGATGATATGTAGGATCAAAAGGTAGGAGGATATTTAATTTCACTTTTTTTAAAGTAAAAGATATTGGTGGACTACTGGTTTACATATCTAGTTCCGTAACTGTTGTAGTCTTTGCATATCTAATGGCTTTACCATGATTAAGATTATTTTCAAAATAGGTATCATATTTTTGTTGTTAAAAACGTTGTAATTTTTTTTAAAAGAGTTGATTCATATACAACAACAATTTTTTATAAAACGACAAAAATTTTACCCTCTCCTTTATTTTAACAAACTTTACAATCTACCGCCTCTCATCTAAAACGTTTCCCAATATACAAACACGGAAACGATTTTACACTTGGGAAAATGACTTAAAAAGGTAATGAAGTTTCAAAAATGTACAAAAAAGACCATTGTTTGTTTTTTAGTACACAAAATACCATTAAAGTATATTTTTTATACACAAAATACAAACGAATTACACATGTGTTCAAATAAAATATTGTGGGTAACCGGTTACCGCAGGCAACGGAAAAATGTCTTAAAAAGGTAACAAAGTTTCAAAAATGTTCAAAAAATACCATTATTTTTTTAGTATAAAAAATATCATTGAAATTTCCAAAATGTTCAAAAAAAACCATTGTTGTTTTTTCATAGCACATTTTGTTAACTTCGTTGTTTCCGGATTATATAGAACACAGTCATCGGAGATTAGTCACCATCGTACCAGTTCAACACTAGTTGTGTACTCTCTTTCATTCCATCACTCGATCAGTTTGTATCTAAATCCATATTTAGGAATTCTCATGACATAACGTCACACACGTTTCTCTTTTGTGTCTTTCTTGTGCCGCAACACTAATGAACGGCTAACCTTGATGTATAATATGTGCATCTATATAACGTATATATGTTTTAGGTTTGAGGCACATAATGTGATCGGGAGGCAAGAATGTTTAACTAATGTTATTACCCACTTACTTCTCTTGTTACCACAAGAATGATCGAGTGAAGGAATGAACGAGATTTGCACAATTGTTGTGAACTGATATGACGGTTCATAATCTCCGGTGATTGTGTTCTACATAATCTGACAACAACACAGTTAACAAAAAGTGTGGTATTTTTTAAACATTTTGGAAACTTCGTTACACTTTTAAGTCATTTTTCCGTTTATCTGAAGTACCTAGTTACCACAATGTTTTAGTTGAACACATGTGTACTTTGTTGGTATTTTGTGTACAAATAGTAACATTAATGGTATTTTTTGTACTAAAAAAACAACAATGATATTTTTTGAACATTTGGAAACCGGGTAACCTACAATAGCCGGTAAAATGGTATTTTGTATACTATAAAAAGAACAATGGTCTTTTTTGTACATTTTTGAAACTTCGTTACCTTTTTAAGTCATTTTCCCTTTACACTTCTCATCGACGATCATTGGTACCTTGCATCTCAGGTTTGATTCACGGCCATAGCCGCCTGCTCCATTGTTGTCACGTTCATCCGCTATTTTTGGTTTGTGATTTTATATTGTGTTTGTATTTCCTCCATTAACTGATTTGTGGTTTTATATTAAATTATTGGTATTGTGATTTTTCTATTCGGTGCTTGTTTACTCCATTGTCGTTGTTGCTACTATTATGATTATATATTCAATTCTAGTTTGTAATTTGCGATTTAAAAACATCAAACCACTACTGTCTGTTGTTTGCGATTGAAAAATATCAATTCTTCTCCCTTACTTTCACTACATCGGGCTTATATTAATAACAGTAAATATCCTTATACCCTATTCGTCCAAAAAATCAATGAATATTATGTTTACCTTTTCTACTAATTTCATCTAATACATTGCTATTTGTCTTGATACCTTGCTTTTTGTAAGACCAAAAATCCATGCTAATGAAGAACATAAATGTAAAGTTTACCTTGTCTTAACTTAACAGGCTAATGTTAACCTTGTCAGTTAATTTCATCAAACTATATTTTTCTGTTTATCACTACTATTTTTACTGAGTTTCTTAATTTGTGTGTGATCGTGTAACACACAATTTCAATGGAATCAACTACTTTGATGCCGCCGAGTGAAAATGTTTATTTAACTACCTCAAAATTTGACCCGTGTGATGATTTATTGAAGAGTGTTCGGGAATTTTATTATTCTAAAGGATATGGGATATCTACGTGGTTCAAGAAAAGACGAGCATGGGATTTTGCAATGTGACCGGGGTGGTTTATATCGAAATATACGAGGTATTTTAGGTAAACGAAAAAAATTTATCGGATCGCGTTTGATCAATTGTCATCTTAAGATTTTGGGAAAAAGGTGTAGTGATGGGCCTAATGGTGATGGTGCTTGGATATTTGATGTAAAAGACTTATCACATAACCATGAGCCATCTACAGACATCCCCAGACATCCATCGTTTCGTCAATTAACATTGGAAAGCATAAAAAGTGTTCAAGAAATGACCAAGGGCGGGATTCCCCCGAGACAAATTCTTTCATCTTTGCGTTAACTGGCCCTAAATATACCAGTAATCTCTAAAAACATATAGAATGTGAAGAGAAAAATTCGAAGGGAAAATTTAAGGAATCGACCCATGATCAATGCATTATTTGAGGAGCTTGACGAAGGTGGTTTTACTTATGATATTTCACATAATGCGGAGGGACGTATATATCGTTTGTTCATTGCACACCCTTTGTCGATTAAATTTGCCAAAGCCTTCTCCAACATCTTTTTGATGGATTGCATCTACAAAACCAATAAATATAACATGTCACTCCTCGATATTATTGGTGTTTCGTGTTTTAATACTTCAGTTTATTTTGAGTTTGTTTTCTTGGAAAGAGAAGATGAAGAAAACTATTCTTGGGCATTATGTGCATTTAAAGAGATTATTGGACAAGAACCATGTGTGATTATGTCAGATAGGGAGCTGACGTTAATGAATGGTATAATTTTTTTTTTCCTACGACATCAAATCTTTTATATGTTTGGCATATTGAAAAGAATGTATTGGCAAATTACAAGAAGTATTTTGGACGTGCCGAGGAGTTCGATATTTTTACGTCCGATTGTAATAATGTTGTATATACGACAACGGAAGCTCTCTTTGAGGAAAACTGGTTTGAATTTATGTCAATACATAAAGAGAAGAAAGATGCAATTGAGTACATAAAAATGTATGATTGCCTTGGAAAGAAAAGTTTGTTAGTGCTTGGACCGATAATTACTTGAATTTTGGAAATCGATCATCATCAAGAGTTAAAGGTGCCCATGCCGAACTTAAACAATATTTGTAAGTTTCTAAGGGAGATTTGAGGGAAGTGAAAGAGAAAAATTGTCTTGCAGTTGAGCATGAATTTAATGAGATTAAAGTAAAACTATCAAGTGAGAAAATTCATGTTCATCATGTAACACCTGATTCAAGGTACTTTCATTTTGACCCTTGGTGTGTAAATATTTTGCAGATTTGGTCCATATGGGGTAGTTTTTCCATTTTCGGAAAACTTATAGTACCCAGGGCGTACGCATGCAGGGGACAAACCCTAAATTTTAAGGTTTGAACCATATTTTAACAACTTAATGAACCTTGATCCTCTCATTTCTCAGCCTCCATAGCCCTTTGAGTCCTATTTCAAAACCCTAGCCCCTCTTAAAGAGATTTGACCCTCTTTTGTGTGTTTTTAGTGTGTGTTGGTGAGAGTTGAAGAAGAAGAGCTTGCAAGAAGGAGCTTTGATTAAAGGAGAACTTGTAGATCCAGAGATAAATTATTTCATCTTTGCGTCAATAGACCCCAAATCTACGAGTAATCTCTAGAAACATATACAACGTGAAGAGAAAAATTCGAAGGGAAAATTTAAGGAATCGACCCATGATCAATGCATTATTTGAGGAGCTTGACGAAGGTGGTTTTACTTATGATATTTCACATAATGCGGAGGGACGTATATCTCGTTTGTTCATTGCACACCCTTTGTCGATTAAATTGGCCAAAGCCTTCTCCAACATCTTTTTGATGGATTGCATCTACAAAACCAATAAATATAACATGTCACTCCTTGATATTATTGGTGTTTCGTGTTTTAATACTTCATTTTATTCTGAGTTTGTTTTCTTGGAAAGAGAAGATGAAGAAAACTATTCTTGGGCATTACGTGCATTTAAAGAGATTATTGGACAAAAACCATGTGTGATTATGTCAGATAGGGAGCTGGCGTTAATGAATGGTATAAATTATTTTTTCCTACGACATCAAATCTTTTATGTGTTTGGCATATTGAAAAGAATGTGTTGGCAAATTACAAGAAGTATTTTGGACGTGCCGAGGAGTTCGATATTTTTACGTCCGATTAGAATAATGTTGTATATTCGACAATGGAAGCTCTCTTTGAGGAAAAGTGGTTTGAATTTATGTCAATACATAAAGAGAAGAAA